GCCTCTCCTTCCCTGCCATTCTGGTCTGACTGGTAAACTCCCACTCAGTTTTCCAGGGTAGGTGTCACAGATGCTAGGAAGGGTTCCTGACAGGACGGAAGAGGGTTCATTAGTGTCCCCTCTGTGGTACCCGGAATCTTACACACTGCTTTTATGCTTGTCACTCCTGTAGAGCTTGTTGGCTTACGTACGTCTCTCTCCCACCGGACTGTGATCAGCCTGTAGGGAGGGATTTTTACATCTGTCTGTATCAGGGGTCTGGAGGGAGGGTTCTTCCATCTTTTCTCCCACCTGGACTCCTTGTACAGTGCGTGGCTATTGAAACGGTTGATGCTCTCAGGAGCTAATAAACACATGTCAGGATTTCTGCTCATACACTGAAAGGCCCCATTCAAGGGACTGGATTCCTCCTTTTCTCCCCTTCCTCCCTCTGTTCTATTTCTCCCTCCTTTCCTAAATTCCTTCCAAATATTTCTTTCAACTTTCTTACTAGAGTTGTCACTGTGATCCTGTTGTGCAGCGTGTCCTCTGCTCCCAACCTTCAGTGTGAAGGCAGAGGATGGGACCACCCCTCCCAGACAGCCGCACCCGGGCTCCACGGTAGCCCCTTCTCCTACGGCTAGTAGCCCTGGGTCCCTTATCAGTCCCTGGCTAGTAAATAATACTTACTAACAAAGACTTATAAGTTAATTATTTAGATTATTTTTTAATTATTTAGAATATATATATGATATACATACATAATCAGTCCTAGTTGTTTCAAGAAAATGAAATTACTAAAAGTTTTCTGAATAAATAGGTGCTACTGTGTTCATGAATACTCATATATAAAACATTGGATATTAGCATACATAGGAGTTCTTATTATCCTCGTTTTTCAGATGAGGATTCTAAGGAACAGAAAGTTTAAATAACATTCTTTGGGTCATACAAAGAGTTAATGGTGGTGCCAGGGTTCAGATCCAGGCAGTCTGAAAACGGTAGATTAGGATAAATCAGGATCCTTTCTCTTTAAGAGAATTAAAGCTTTGAATGTTTTATCCTTAGTGGTTTTTATGCTAAAGAATTGTCCTTTTTGGATATATTTACCACTGCAGTAGGGGAATGGGTGATGGAAATGTGGGGAAAGGAACAAAAT